TCTTTTATTTTTTTTCTTTTTTTTCTTTTCTTTTTCTTCTTTCTTTTTTCCTTTTTCCCTCTACCAGCTACCGTTGAGCCTCGTTGATGGCCAATAGAGATCACCGCCCTCAAGCAAGGGACACTTGGGCCGGAGCTTGCAAGGGTGGCCCTCGCCAGCCTCGGGCCAAGGCAACCCTCGCCAGATCAAGGGTGATGGTTGCCCTCGCTTGCCCAAGCGAGGGCGGCCCACGTTTGCTTATCTGAGGGGCGAGCGTGAGCCACCCTTGCCTAAGGCTAGTGGAGGTCGCCGGCCATCAACGAGGCCCAGTGGTGGCCGACGGAGGGAAAAGGGGAAAAAGAGAAAAGAAAAAAGCACAGAAAAAAGAAAAGAGAAAAGGGAAAAGAAGGAAAAGAAAAGAAAAGAAAAGAAAATATTGAAAAAATTATTAAAAAATTGTTAAAAATCATCCACGTCAGCATCGGCCGTACCACGTAAGACAGCCGGTATCCACGTCAGTAATTTTTGGGCAAAATTAGCCAGATAAACTCAATTGACAATACGTGAAAAGGTTTATAACTCAATTGATAAAATTAAAAGATTTAGAATTAAATTTGTAAAAGTACAGTATGTTTAAGACTTTTTGCATAATTTTACACTTTCTTGGAATGACTTTTCTTGAAGTATTTTGCCCGCAACACCACGGCCCACTTGGCCTTCCAGTTCTTGGCATTCGCCAGCTAAGTCTTCCAAGCAATGCCATATTTTCCAAGTCCGCCCATACTCAGACCAAGACTTTCTATTTCCTCTTGTACCTTTATTTCATCCAATGACATGCATCTCTCTCTCGCTTTCACTAGAGCCCCATAGAAAATCCCCGACAGAATTTATCAATCTGGTTGCATATGGACACAGGAATCACTCCAGTTTGCATATTCGCCTCATTGACCGATTTAATCATATATTTCGACCCACCATATGGACATTCTATTAGGTCCTCCAGCCTGCCATTTTCATTCTCATTTCGTCCATGATAAATCTAAATCTCCAGAGAGTCACCATACCATTCTTAATAGGATAACCAAGATATTTCCCCGGGTATTATTAAGAACCCTGGAGAAATGATCCTGATCCTTAGAAGAGATATTCTCAGAGAAGTAGACTTTAGATTCCACAAAGTTAATCTTCTTACTAGAGATTTCACAATTGGTTCGGGATATTCACAATGGAAATTAAACCTATCAAAATGAGTCATAAATCCATTTCTTAATTCGTATATAATGGACTGAGGTGTTATATGGATTAGTTATATTCAATAAATGGGTCATAAATGGGTTTAAATATGGAAATATAGCTTATATCATTCACTTTCACAAATAAGAACAGATCATCCGCAGAAAAGAAATACGAAAACTGGGGGCCATCCCTAGAAGTTTTAAAAAGGGGTCCTCGTTCCCTTCCCGCATTCTCTTTCTATTAAAAAAGCTCAAGATATCCAGGCAAAGGATGAAAATATAAGGGGAGAATGGATCTCCTTGCTTGATGCCTCTACTCGGTTGAAATGGTTTGGCGGCACCCTCATTAATAAGGATGGGTTTAGAAGCAATGGTAGTAGAATTCAAAGTAAGATCAAAGTGAACACATCACGGAAATTAAACCAATGCAGGACATTTTTAATCTCAGCCGGTCATATGCCTTTTGAAGCTCAAGTTTTACGGGACAATAACCTTTTTCTACCCTTAGCAGTCTTCATCTTATGGAGAATTTCTTTGACATTAACAATGTTGTCATGAGTTCTCCTCCCAGGGATAAAGCTTGCTTGGTTGGGACAATGTCGTTTTTAGTTCAATTAAGTCACATGGGCGCCATATCAACACCGTATGCTTTCTGGCGTCCATGTATACAGATTTTTAGTGGCAATCATTGATGGAACCTTGACGAAGGAGGGTAAATGTGTTATAGGTACAAGTTTGGAATACCCCATAAACTTTGATAAATGAAGGTAATCTCTTATTTTTTTTTTATTATTATTTTTCTTTAGTTTCTATAAAAATGAAAAATATAGAAAATTTGAAAATTTTTTTTTAACTAAAATACTATAATAGAATAATATTTATAATTACATTAAAAATAATAAAAACTTTTTAAAATTCAATAAATATAGCCACTAAATTAAACTAAATAAGATATTCCAAGAAAAAGAATAAACACCGATTAAATAAAATAGAAAAAGATCCCAATAACAAAAAAATGTCAAATTACAAAAATTGGGTTACTTCGATAAGTATATTCGAAGGGTTAATTAATAATAAAATTGACTGATTAACAATAGTGTTTGAAAGTATATTCGAAGGGTTAATTAATAATAAAATTGACTGATTAACACTTTCTTGGAATGACTTTTCTTGAAGTATTTTGCCCGCAACACCACGGCCCACTTGGTCTTCCTGTTCTTGTCAATTCGCCAGCTAAGTCTTCCAAGCAATGCCATATTTTCCAAGTCCACCCATACTCAGACCAAGACTTTCTATTTTCTCTTGTACCTTTATTTCATCCAATGACATGCATCTCTCTCTCGCTTTCACTAGAGCCCCATAGAAAATCCCCGACAGAATTTATCAATCTGGTTGCATATAGACACAGGAAGCACTCCAGTTTGCATATTCGCCTCATTGACCGATTTAATCATATATTTCGACCCACCATATGAACATTCTATTAGGTCCTCCACCCTGCCATTTTCATTCTCATTTCGTCCATGATAAATCTAAATCTCCAGAGAGTCACCATACCATTCTTAATAGGATAACCAAGATATTTCCCCAGGCATTATTAAGAACCCTGGAGAAATGATCCTGATCCTTAGTAGAGATATTCTCAGAGAAGTAGACTTTAGATTCCGCAAAGTTAATCTTCTTACTAGAGATCTCACAATTGATTCGGGATATTCACAATGGAAATTAAACCTATCAAAATGAGTCATAAATCCATTCCTTAATTCGTATATGATGGGCTGAGGTGTTATATGGATTAGTTATATTCAATAAATTGGTCATAAATGGGTTTAAATATGGAAATACAGCTTCTATCATTCACTTTCACAAATAAGAACAGATCATCCGCAGAAAAGAAATACGAAAACTGGGGGCCATCCCTAGAAGTTTTAAAAAGGGGTCCTCGTTCCCTTCCCGCATTCTCTTTCTATTAAAAAAGCTCAAGATATCCAGGCGAAGGATGAAAATATAAAGGGAGAAAGGTCAAGATTGGCTATATATAGAGATTGAATGTTAATTTCCAACTTTGAAATAAAGTGTCGCTCAAATTATTTGATAAAAAATAAGCAATTAATTATGTGTTCATATGCTTTATAGCCGTCATAAATAGAAATTTATAATAGTCTTTGTAGCTTTTCTGATTAAAATTATGAGATCATATATTAAAATTAACAAACTTCTCTATGCAAAGTGATAACATAATACAATATAAGATGATATCTTGTCGAGAATAATTGAGTTTTTACATTGTGAAACTAACAAAAAAATGATAGAAAGAAAGGCAATTTTGTTGGTTGGTCTAACAGAAAAAGAAACAATAAATTGGAGAGAGAGAGAGAGAGGGGGGGGGGGAGGGGGGGGAGGGGGGAGAGGAGGGTATTTTTGTCGTTTAACTAAATAAAGGAGTGTCTTAGCCAAAATGAAAGTGGAAATAGCAACACCCTAACACAATACCCCTTAAACTTCTTTTATTATAAAGAAACAATAATCTTTTTTTTTCTTTAGTTTCTGTAAAATGAAAAATATAGAAAATTTTGAAAAAAAATAAATTAACTAAAATACTATAATATAAAAATATTTATAATTACATTAAAAATAAAAAAATAAAATTTAATAAATATAGCCACTAAATTACACTAAATAAGATATTCCAAGAAAAAGAATAAACACAGATTAAATAAAATAGAAAAAATCCCAATAACAAAAAAAGGGTCAAATTACAAAAATTGGGTTACTTCGATAAGTATATTCCAAGGGTTAATTAATAAGAAAATTGATTGATTAACAATAGTGTTTGAAAATATTATAAAAGGCAAAGATCTCATCAAAATGATTAGCCATTCAAGGTGATGTTTTTGGAACAATTTTTTTAAACGATCAATTAGTTTATACTAAGTAACCATTGCTACTATTATATCTTGCTGTCATCAAAACCTTTTTTTTTCCTATTTATTTAATTGCGTTTCTTTTTTTTTTTCTCAAAAGGCCCTGTCAATTCTACTGATATTCTCATCGATTTTCAACAATATTTATCAGCTTGATTTTTTTTTAGATTTTTTTATTATTCACATGAATCAATAGATAAGATAAAAGAGAGATTTCGACTGTATATGCCGATGGAAAAAAGACGACAAGAAAATAAGAATTCACGAATTGCCGATGTGGTAAGAAATTTAAAGTTTTGAAATATAAAAATGGGTAATAACACAAACAGCCCCTGAATTGTGGTCCAATATGCAATTTGGTCCCCGAACTTTTAATTTGTTCAACGTAGTCCATGAACTTTAACCCAATGTTCAATTTGATCCTTAAATTTTTAATCTGTTCAGTGTGGTCCCTGAACTTTTATTACACGTTCAATTCAGTCCCTAAACTATATAAAAATGTTCAATGTAGTCCATGAACTTGAATCTACATTGAATATTTTCAAATAGTTTAGGGACTAAATTGAACACGTACTGAAAGTTCATGGATCATATTGAGTATTTTAAAAGTTTGAAGATCAAATTGAATATTAAACTAAAATTCAAGAATTATATTGAATAAATTAAAAATTCAGAAATTAAACTATAAATCGAACCAAAATTCATGGACCGTAAAATTGTACTGTGTGTCTTCAACGACCCCCGCTTCGTAAGCAGCGTCGATCGTGGGCTGGCTGGCTTTTTCGTCAACGTCTCTCGAGAGTGAAAAACATCACGCGGTTTCCTCGAAGAACAAGAACAAACGACTTCTTAACCTCTCCAGCTCTCCTCCTTCCCCCATCCAACGAAAGTCATCCTCTTCCTCTCTCTCTCCTTCGCTCTCTAGAATCCTTCCTTCCTTCCTTCCTTTTGATCGCTGCAAATGGCGAACGTCGACGAGAAGAACTGCGCCGCTCACGAGGAATCGAGCCCTCTCCTGGACAAGAAGGTCGCCGCCGACGATGCGGAGAAGCCCCGCCAGGCGGCCGCCGCCGACGACAAGAAGGTCGCCCCCGCCGACGACGGCGCGAAGAAGCCCGGCCAGGTGACGGCGGCGCACGGCCCGCTCCTGGTCCCGATCGTCGTCGGCGGCGGCGGCGGCGGGGGCGGGGGGTTCGGGTGGACCGCCGACGGCTTGCCGCTGGCTCACGGCAGCGTGATGGGGGAGCCGATGGAGCGGGCGCAGTGGAACTCGAGCCTCTTCGCTTGCCTCGGTCGCAACGACGAGTTCTGCAGCAGCGATCTCGAAGTTTGTGAGTCGCTCGCTCGCTCTCTCGATTTTCTGAATTGGGGGCTTTTTTGCTGTGATCGCTGTGTGTGTTTTGCGGTATCTGTGGATTAATTTTGGTCATCGAATTTGTTGGTTTGGTGATCTTGATTAGTCGTGCATTCTAAGCTATTTAGCTTTGGCAGCGGGGATTTTTGTCTAGGTGGTGTTACTTGTTGCTGAAATTAGATCGGATTGGCTTTGTTAACTGGGAGGTCCTTGGCTAGTAACTAGAAGGCGGTCCTAAGGGCCATTAAGTGACAGTATTGGCAGCCACCGCGTCTGCTGTGCACCGCAGCCGCCGTGCTAATTCAATTCACTACAGTAGCCTCTACGGCCATTTCGTGATGGCGTAATGGTCTTAGCGCCCGTTTTCAACGAAGATGCAGAGAATCTCGAGACTCTTCAGGGGCATCTCACCTTGGATTCTCTCTTTGAGTGGCCAGTCTTGGTCAAACAAACTTAAGATTGAAGGGAAAAAAAACAAGTGTACGGATCTGTCAAAGACTCAGATTTCATATCTGATTAATTGCATTCTTCAAACTAGGTCTAGGTTCTCTTAATATGCATATTGAAGTGAAAATCATAAAAGATTTGTGGGTTTTGGATCTTGATTGGTCTTGGTCTGCTTTTGAAAGATTTGTGGGTTTTGGTCTAATCAATGGGATCTCTGTTCATCTCTGTTTTCTTAGCTGTGTTCTCTCCACCAGGAACAACAAAAGAGAGAGAGGAGAGAGAAGCGGTGGGACTTATGAATTTTCTATTTCTACTTTAATTAAGCTTATTCTAGCAGAAATTATATTAGTGTTTATTTTATCTATGAAGAATGTATGTAGATATGTTATATAGTTAGAATTTTGCAATTTTTTTAATAAAACAATCAATTTCCGATGTTTCAAACATGATGTGCAAGCGTCACAAAATTCATGCCGCAACACCTGCAACCCTTTACAGGATGTCTGTGACACCCTACTTCCACAGTAACCACTATGCAACCACGATATGACCCACATCCGCGCTATAATTCCTTGCCTATGCATGCAAATTATTTTTGTTGATTTAATGAGTACCTATTAAGGGACAGGATGCATTGTAGGTCATGTACAACCTTTAGATGAGAGAGAGTTTTACTATCTTTTTCCCTTTTCTGGGCGAGTTTTTAGTTCGTGTTTTTATTGAGGTTGTTCTAAACTTCTGAAATCGTAATCTTGTTGTGATAGATTTCGTTGATTAGTTTAGGAAAGGAAATAAATTTTACTATCTTTTTTAAAGAAATCAAATTTTATTATGTTAGGTTTGAAATTTTCAGTGTTTAAGTGGTGGGGACAACGATTGCTGAAAATTCTGTTGAATGTACTATGTTTGCTGATTTCTAGATCAAAAGATGTAACTGCTTCCAAAGATAGTACAAATGGGGGTTATCCAATCGAATATGTTAGCAGGGGATTCCTCGGGCTAACTGTGTTAAGCATTTAGATATTGCAATCAACATTAGTTTAATTTTGTTAAATTGAAGGTCATTCTGCTTGTATTCCTTTTCTATATGCTTTTGATATCATGGATCCTTTTTTATCATATTTGCTCTATCATGACTTGACTAGGTCTTCTTGGATGCGTTGCTCCTTGTGTGCTTTATGGAAGCAATGCTGAGAGACTTGGAAACCCTACTGGGACTTTTGCGACTCACTGCTTGTCTTATGCTGGCCTTTATCTGATTGGAAAAGCCTTCTGTAGTGTCAACTGCATTGCACCCATGTTTTCATTTCCTAGCCGCACGGCTATTCGTCGCAAGTTTAATCTAGAGGCAAGTAATTCTTTCACCTGTCCATTCTTCACCGGCGCTTTTCTCCCATTATCATGAGATAAATTTGTTGACTGAGTTAATTACTAGTCGCACATTCTGGTGAAGCTACTGGTATAACCTCCGTCCTTTCGAAAGGCAGCTGTGCGAACTTCTCATTTCTTTTCTCCAAGGAAAGATGTATAATTGATGCATTTCTATTTTTATTTTTCATTATTAACAGCAGAAGTAACGTTAGATTCATGAGGTACTCACATTGTAATTTAGTTGAATCAGGAAATCTCAAGGTTATGATGTGAATTGACATGTCACTTCATGTTTGGTTAAAGTAGTCAATCTCAACAGATTAGTCTGATGAGTGCCCACAATTTGTTAAAATACAATTGATCCTGCTCTGACTCTTAGGGTTAGCAACTGGTGGGAAAGGCTTAGGCCGTGCACTGCTCCTCACCAATGCCTTCCGTCCTCCCCTTGCATGTGCATACATTCAGTATTTGGCCCAATCTATCACTCCAACCCCATTGAAAAGATGACTTATTTTTCTGTGGATTTTATACTATAGCAGCTAATAAGTAGATTAAGGGAGGATCTGCAAATATCACTATCAATAGAAACTATAGTCATCATGAGGATCTGTGAATATCAGTAACAACAGAAATTATAGTCATCATGAGGATCTGTACACCTTTCTCTGGACCATCTTGTGAGTCAATCATGCAATCTGTCCTGATTCTGGCCCAACAGGTTCTTTAGTATCCGTCTCTTCACCACCCTTGCAATTGCGAGTGAATTATGCAATCGGTTGTGATCCTCATCCAACAAATTGTTTAGCCCCAACATATCCCACTTGGGATGGGCAAAATGCTGCTTCCTGTTAAACCCTTTTCCCCCTCATGGGCCAATAGCTACTTTCTTTTTAAAATTTTTGCTTGAACTTTCTTACCTTATTTTTTATGATTGTTGTCCGGTAAATATGACTAGAATAAGCATTTTGGGGAACAAAATTAAATTTGTGTAGTGTTTAATAGATTAGATTTATTTTATATGATTTAGGTGTGAGTTTAAATCCCCAACAGTAGAATTTAATATCCTCAAGTAAATTTGCATTTAACAGTTGAAGGAAACTTTTTATTTTGAAGAGCTGGGACGACAAAAATTGTAAAAATGTGCTTTAGTTATTCCCTGAAAATCAGCTTTCACTTGTTCAACTGTATCTTTTTTTTAAAATGTCACAAGATGCTCCATTGGAGCTTCCATGACTTTCTGAAAGTAGAACCAATTTTCTTGAAGAACTCTTAGGCAACGACTTAGGATGCTTGCTTGCATCTATGTTTTAATTGACTAACAATAAAATCATTTAACTGGTTTTTAGTTTGTTTAAACGTCTTGTTATAAAAAACAATGTTAGGTTGTGCTTACTGATAAATGTTTATTTTACGTCATTTTCATTAAAATTTGTGATTTTTCTCTTAGACAAAAAAAAAAGTTCATGGTAGATTTGGGACTGGACCAAAAGTCGTGTTTTTTTTTTTTAGACAAAGAAAGGGGTTTTTCTGAGACAAAAAAAAGTTCGGGGCAAAAATGAGACCAGACCTAATTGAGGATTTTTTTAGGAATTAGGCCTATAACCAGAGTCGCTACAACATGTTTTCTGGGGAATGGTTTGGTTTACGAGAGTAATTTGGGTCAGTTTTTTAGGAAGGAAGAAAGCTTACCAAAGTTTTTTGCTGGGTTTTGTGAATCTGATGGATTGCAGTTCCAAACATGATTGGCTTGAGGTTGAGGTAGCAAGAGCAGACCGCCTTGTAATGCATAAATAGATTTAACTTTTGGAGATTGGTTTACTTGTGCTCTTCCTTGTCTTATAGTGAACTGTACAGAATAAAGCAATGACTGACTCTATGCTTCGTGGGTCTTTGCCAACTAAACAGGGTAGCTGTGAGGCACTTCACAGGTCCTGTGGATGCTGTGGAAGTTGTGTGGAGGACGAGGTGCAGCGAGAGCGGTGTGAATCAGGGTGCGACGTGCTAACTCATGTCTTATGCCACCCCTGCGCTCTCTGCCAGGAAGGGCGTGAGCTCCGCCGTAGGCTACCTCATCCCGGATTCAATGCACATCCAGTCTTGGTGATGATTCCCCCAGGCGAGCAGACTATGGGTCGTGGGGCTTGAGCATCGTTCTACATCTATATGAAAACCAGCCTGTCTATGTGCAAACCGTACGTGTGATTTCTCCAGTTGACTTAACAGACCTTTTATTGTATTAAAGAAATGGTGATGAAATGTAGTGCTTGGTCTTAACCAGCTATAAATAAATGCTCCGTATATGTTGTCTTGTTTTTATACAGTAATACCTCTTTACTAATATACGGTGACACAGTTAAGATTGTTCACTTCATCGTGGCTTCTGCTTTGCTTCTCTCTTGGTGGAAGTCGAGGAAATTTTTAGGTGTGGTTGCTTACTGCTGTGTATGTTGGACTGCCCAAAAATGAGGTGAAGACTTTGAAGATGACCGAGGAAGTTCATTGAAATTCCTAAAACCTTATCACGGAATGCAATTGAGCCACGAACATTTCTTATAATACAATCGAGTCCTTTCAAATGAATTAGATCAGGACTAGCTTATGTGAAAAATGCCTAAGCAGTAAGTATCAAATTGTACTATTCAATATAGGTTTGGAGATCTCGTTGATAGAATTCTCTCTTCCTCTGAAGAGCTTTCTCTCTATCCATGGAGATAGTTTGCCCTAAAACCCCTTTTCTCCAAAACCCTCACCCCATAAAAGTCCCAACCTGCCTACTTTGATCCTTTACCTCCACAATGTAAAACCTATACATCATATCCTTCCTCGCCCCAACACTACGTACCCAAAACCCTAATTCTTAATCGCATTCTCACCACAGTTGCCACCAAAATCTAGCCTGGAGCTCCTTTCACTGCCTCCTCGGATTCATCCTTATCCTCCAAATACACATCCAGCTTGTCCAATCCTTAGGTCCTCCGATTGAGGCAAACGAAGGAGTATCAGCTCGATTTGCCAAATCTCAAAGAAAATTGTTGCCGCCCAGCCTTGAGGTTATGCTTCTTCCCGATTTTTCCTCACCCAACATCACAGCAAACAGCTCAAAGCCTCATGGGATGTGTTGCTCGACCCAGTTGCTTTAGTTAATCTGTTGCACCTGTATGAGTCTCAAGGAGCTCGGGTAATAGGGCACGAAGAGCTAACTGCTTGTTTCATACCCCCTGCTGTCCTTGCAAAATGGAAGAAATATATGAGAATGTGCTTAAGGTGGCAGCTCTCGTTAAGAAGTTGGGAGATCTCTGGTCAGAAAATGATTTAGTAGAGGCAGACGAAGAAATTCCAGAGGAAAAACTGAAGAAATGTCTGACTTACCTTGTATGGAAAACTCTATTCAAAGCCCAATGTCAATTTCCAAGCCTTCCAAGGCCCAATGAAGAGGGCGTGGAAAACTGAAACAGTAGCCTATGCCCAAATCAAGCCGGGCCTCTTCTCTTTCATCTTTAACACACAAGCAGAGAAAAAGAGGGTATTGGAGGAGGCACCATGGTCCTTTTCCAGCAACTTGTTAGTCCTCAAACAATGGAAATCTGACACCCAGATGCATTGCTATGATTTTTCCTATTGTACCTTTTGGGTCCAAGCCCTCGGGATCCCTGAGGAAAGAGCAACAGTAGACGTCATAAATAGTTTGGCATCGAAAGTGGGGGCTGTGCAGGGGGTTAGGCTGGATAAGAAAGCAAATAGGTATATTATTTCGGGGAAAGCACGGGTGGAAATAGAGTTGGCTGCCCCCTTGAAGTCAGAAACATTCATCAATGTGGGGGAAAAAGGATTTGGATGGACTTCAAAACGTCTACCTCACTTTTGCTATTCTTGCGGAGGTCATTATGCTACTTACTGCAAAATAGCTCATGGAAAACATTTTAAGGCAAATTCGGGCAATGGCTAAAGGCAGAAGTTAGTGAACATAGCTCGTATTGGGAGTTGTTTTATGGGGACCAGCTTCCTATCATGGAGGAAGAGGAAATGATATTTGAAACCCCACTTCATGACTACCCTCCAAAAGAAATCGCAACAAAAAGAAAATGCAGTGCGGATATTCCCCTAGGGAGTGCCTTTGGTTTGGCTCCACCTTGGAGCTCATTCCCCACTTGGGGAAGCAAACTCAGCTACTTTTACTGGATTCCCTCGGAAGAGCGACTGGCATGGAATTAGAATGCGGGCTACAAAAGAAAGGAAAAGCGGGGAAAAAAATCCTGCCTACAAAGAAACCGAGGAGACATAACCCTTATGAGATGGGAGGAACAAGCTTGAATTCTCTAGAAAAGTCTTTAAAACTAGTTACTCACGTTCATATGGCTAAAGACGGGCATGAATGGGCTGTGGTGGCTAATCCTAATAAGCCATCAGGGATTAAATGAAGCTTTTGAGCTAGACTTGCCGGGGGTTGGGCACTCCCCTGACATTCCAGTCACTAAGAACCATTGCGGCTCAAGAAAAGCTCACTATGGTGGTTTTGATGGAAACAAAAAATAAAGAGGTGATGGTGGACCGTATTCATAGTTGATTCCAGTTCTAGCATCTTTAGGTTATGGATCCATGGGCATTGCTAGGGGCTTAGCACTGTTATGGAATGATGACCTTTCCCCAAATGTGGTAGCTAGTTCGGCTGAGTTTATTAATGTTATATGCAAAGACCGAGAAGCGGGACTACTATGAGAATAACTTTCCTACATGCTTCTACTAATTTTCAGGAGAGATTGCAGCTATGGCAAAAAATGAGAGCCATTCACTACTCCATCATCTCCCTTGGGTTTGCATGGGCAATTTTAACGAAATTTTATGTAATTGGGAGAAAGTGGGGAGAGAGAGATGCGAACAACTACAGGCTAGTAGCTTTCCAAGATCTTACGTATGACTGTTCACTTATGGATATAGAAAGCAAGAGATGTGTGTTTACTTGGTCTAACAATAGAGTGGGGGACGAGTTGGTTAAAGAAAGGCTTGACTGAGTAATAAGCAGTTTAGATTGGAGAGTGTCTTTCCCAAACACGGAAGCCTTTGCATTACTTCCTATTCGCCCCGTCATTGTCCTATTCGTCTTTTGCTCTACCCTAACCATGAAGCACGAAAAAAAGAGTTTAAATTTGAAGCTTACTGGGTGGAATACGTAATACGACAAGATAGTCTCTAAAGCCTAGCAAGACCCAAAGATCAAACGAGGGGTTATTGTGAACAAACTGAGAAAGGTTACAAAGGCCTTGTCTACATGGAGCCGTTGGAAGTTTTCCAATGCGTACCACCAAATCGAAGCTCTCAAGGAACAGCTAGTGGAACTCACAAATAGGAGCATGGGAGGATCCACTAAAGAGGATATTCAAGCTGCTAAGGGGAAAATTGAAAAACTATGGAGGTAGGAAGAGATGTATTAGGGATTAAGATCTCGCGTAAATGGCTAAAATGGGGAAATAGAAACACAAAAAAATTTCATGCCGCAACGATGCAAAGGAGGCACCGTAACAAAATCTCCATGCTGAAAGTTGAGGAGTCTACTTGGCTCCGAGATGAGGAGAAACTGAAAAATTATATTACTGAGTTTTACTACTCCCTCTATACTACCATGGGACCAAGAAACTTTCAACTTGTCCTGGACCAATGCCCATATATAATTCAGGAGAATACGAACGACGCCTTCCTGGAACCGATAACGATGGAGAAGGTAAGAAACATTGTCTTTCAAATAGCCCCAACAAAAGCCCTTGGACCTGACGGACTCAACGGCCAGTTTTACCAGCATCATTGGGAGCTTATCCAGTATGATATTTTGCAAATGGTCTAAGATTTTTTGTTGATTCAGGAACGCTTGAGCCAGAGCTTAGCAAAACTCTCATTACCCCGACCCCCAAAGTTCCGAACCCAGAAGACATGAGCTAGTGTAGACCCATAAGCCAGCACAATATCAATTACAAAATTATTCCAAAGGTACTAGCAAACCGCTTGAAACCTTGGCTCCTTGAAATCATTACCATGGAGCAAAGTGCCTTCATCAGTGGACGCCAAATTCAGAATAATATATTGATTGTACATGAGGTACTACACCAATTGCGAATCAGGAAGAGAGAAAAAATTCTAGACGATTTTGAAACTTGACATGTTAGCTTACGACAGAGTGGAACGGGATTTCCTAGAAGCGTGTATGCTAAAAATGGGTTTCAACAAGAAATGGGTGGCTTTGATTATGAATTGCGTATCTTCCATCACTTTCAGTGTGAAATTTTAATGGGGAACCTCAACAATATTTCCAGCCATCTTGGGGCATTAGATAAGGTTACCCACTTTCTCCCTATCTCTTCCCTATCATGGCTAATGTCTTGAACCATCTTTTGCACAAAGCCATAGCTGATGGGCGGCATAAAAGGGATTAAACCGAACAGCTTTTGCCCAACATTCTCATACTTGCTCTTTGCTGATGATGCCATCTTTTTCCAAGACGGGAAAATCAGTGAATGTCAGAATCTGACAGGGATTTTGAATCAATATTGCTTCGTGACAGATCAAGCCATAAACTTGAACAAATCATGAATTTATTTTAGTAATGGTTGCCCACTTAGCTTGAGGAAAAACATGGTCGAGGAATTGAGAATTCCTATGATTGACAAGCCAGGGAAGTACCTAGGCATTCCTTCCAATTGGGGACCTCAAAGAAGCACACGTATGCCTGGATACTTGCTAGGATCAATGTGAAATTAGAGGGATGAAAGGAAAAACTTATCTCTAAGGTGGGAAAGGAAATCTTGATAAAAGCCATAGTGCAAGCTATATCCACCAGTATAAGATGTCAATCTTCAAGATTCCCATATCGATATATAGAGCGATTGAGCACAGAATAGCTTCTTTTTGGTGGAAATAGAATTGATTAAAGAAGGGCATTCATTGGAAGAAATGGGTGGTCCTCCAGCTAAGGAAAAGGGAGAGTGGTCTTAGATTCAGGGATCTCATAACTTTCAGCAAAGCTAAGACTAATCTAGTCCCGCTTAGCCTTATGGAGTCTACTTCCCCAATGTTAACTTTTGGAATGCTAATAAAGGGCATCGACCCTCTTGGAGATGGCAAAGTCTATTAATGGGGAGAGACACTATTCAACCATCAATTAGATGGGCAGTGAGCAATGGGAAATCAATCAGAATCCATAAAGATAGATGGTTATCCCAGGGTTTGATCGGTGGGCTAGCTAATTTAGGAGAACCCTAAAGAGTTGAGGAGCTATTTATACAGAAAAAGCAATGTTAGGGTGAAAAGAAACTGAACTCCCTCTTCAGGGAGCACTTAGTCGAGGAAATCACTACTATACCCACTAAGTCCTATTTCAAAAGAAGAGGTACTTGTTTGGGCGGGGAACAAAACAAGCAAATATACTATGAAAGATGCCTATACCAGCATGCAACCAATAGAAGTCCGGCAGAATCACAACCATGCTTCCTCCTCATACCAAATCTCCAAATCCCTACGGCAGAAAATCTGGAACCTCAACACTATGCCAAAAATCAAGTTTTTCATTTTGAGTGTGTCAGAATAGCTTATCAACTTGAGAGAATCTGTGTAAGAGAACTATAACGCCTGATCCTCCCTGTCTTGTCTGCCGGCAAGCCCTCGAGTCCATGGAACACCTTTTATTGCTTTGCGACTGGACAAAATAGTATGGTCAGACTACCGACTCAAAATACAGATCTCCAGCTATGAAATTACTAGAACTGACAAGTGGGTGTTGGAGATCTTGACACAAAACACTAACTTGCCCTCATCGAAGCTGGTCATCGAGGTATTATGGAAATTCTGACTAACCTAAAGCAGAGTGGTCTTTCAGAAGCGCCATCCAGACCCGAGTTCGATAGTTGACGAAGCATGCGCCATAGACAAAAACTTTAAGCATTGGAGCCTTAAAGTGAACAACCGAGAAACACAAAAGGAAGGGATCGTTTCGTGGATCCCTATTGAGATAGGCGATGTAAAACTGAATATTGATGGGTCGATCGTCAAAGGAGAAAAGGAAGGGATCGTTGCGGGAATTTGCCGAGACTCTACTGGAGTAAAGCCACCTTGCCCCCTTAGTGCTGGAAATTGAAACCCTAGCCCTACAAGCTGCTTTATTGTACTTAGAAGATGGAACACGAACCGTGGAGGAAAAACTATTTGCATGTGGTCTTGAGTTCTGATAGCTTATCACTTGTGAATATTGTCACGGGCTAGGCCCCATGCCCATGGGAACTGCAAACTATCTTGGAGGATGCAAAGATATGCTAGCTCGGTTCAACTCTCTTCAGCTGGTCTATAGCCCACGCGAATCCAACCAAGTGGTGGACTGTATAGCCAAGTCTCATCGCAAAAAAGTCCTTCCACATGATTAGCTCATAGAACCACCTTTACATTCATGGGACCTTTTATATTCGGAAACCCATAACTTGTGTTATCTTTTGTCAGTTAATGAATGAAACACTTCGTTTTTCAACCAAAAAAAATATAGGTTTGGAGATATAATAAGTGTTCGAAATTTGACTATGCTGGTTGAAAGGTATAGAATTCGATTATATTTGTTTTTGGATTGCACCAATTAAAAAAACTGAAACTTGATTACATTGTATATGTAATATTTAACTCTGTTGGTGTAAACTTGCGAAGATCAATCATGAGTGGGATTCTGTATATGGTATAACCTAGTCTAAGAGTAGTATGAGCAAATAGTCTCTCTTCTTCAGTGACAGATCACCATTTAGATTGCCAGGATGATACATAGCATGGGAGAGGATATAAATATTTCGAACTTTTATGAGGGGTGCAACAAATTCTTACGTTGTTACTGTTAAGAGTATCGAAGAATTTGATTAGATCCAAGTACAATGTCATTCAATCAATAGTTACTTCAATGAACTTCACGGAGATTTAAAAAATTGAGCAATTTTAAAGATATTAAGACTCATCTATCAAATTGATTTATTAAATAATTATAATTATACGCGTCAAAACTGATTATTTGAGTTAATGGGTTCAATTAAGCACGCAACAGAATTAGGCATATTACTAAGTAAAACATATATCACACGAAGTTTAATATTCCTTCAATTATTCTAAAAAAATTGAGGAATAATCTCAACAATATTTTGAAACTTTCTATGCAAAACACCCTACGAGTTGGACACAATAACTATGCACATCTATAACGACAGAGAAGCAACGTCTGAGATAATGAGGGATGAAAATGGGATGGGTTTGAGACGGGTGATGTCATCTGAATCTCAACTCACTGAAGTAGTACCTATACTTTTTTAGTAAGTAAAGATGTAACACTAGAAGAATATTATATGATATGATTCACAAATACTAACATTTTTTTAAAACTTATGCATCGTAGTTCTTCAATAAGAAAACTTACACATATGCACAACACAAGATTGAAGAAAAATTAGGATCAAAGATCATAAAAGTCTACAATCTAAAATCCTATAATGAGATTTGACCAAAATAAAATCCTAAAATGAGAAGCTAGGCTTTGAGTATGGTTACAACTGAAAATGTTATATTTTAGTTGATTTCATATATGGGTGGACAAAATTATATAGTAATATTGAGCTTTTAAACAAAGTAAGGATAGTTTGGTAAATGATCTTTTGAGTTCAAATTTCGAGTTTAACCATCAAGTAAATCTAGAAAAACGTCCCAAAGTGTAGTAGGGTTAGAATGAGTGTATACATTTACTACATACAATCTGGATTATAAAGAAAACAAGGATAATTTATTAATCAATACATATCGAGTTAGGACATCGGGTTTCACATCTATAAGATCTCAAACTCGTCCCAAACCTTAAGAGGTTTTTAGCAATTGACACCAACGTTCGTCTACTTGAAATTCATTTACACAAATCATTATGGCTTGGGCATATTGCATTCCCCACTATTCCTGCCCTAGTTTCATCTTGACACCGATGCTACATAAGCTAAAGTGAATATACTGAAAGTCCTAATTTATTCTGTGGAATGCACCTAGAAATCTAAATTTTCAATTTGTTTAATCAAATCCTACACATTTTTCAAAAGGGCCGCATTTCCTTAATTCCTTGTTAGAAAAAAAACTTCCTCCAACCTTTCCTTTGATTGTAGGATTACAAATATAGATATTACCCACTTTTGTTAATAGTTAAGCTTACATGTTGGTGATAGTCATAAATTGTAACCCTACAATAAGAGACATGGTTAGAGGAAATTTTCTCCAATGAGAGATGGAGGAAAATATAACTCTTTTTGAAAAAGTGCAATCAAATTGTTTTGATGACAACGCATTATATCATGCATGTGGCACTCAAACGTTGCCTCCATGACATCCTTAAATTGTACTTTTATGTATAAGTTTAGAATTTAATTGCATAATTTATCCGCTCTCATTCACGAAGCAAAAAGCAGGCTTTGCCCCAACTACCACACCTTTGGATAACAAAAAGTGCTATAAAAGGAAAGGGTTAAATTCTCTCCCCACCGTTTCAAGAGGAGAAGGCAAAAAAGAAAGTGTTCTTTGCGGAAGTTTTTTTTACTTATTGTACCCTTACTAATGAAAGCAATTTTCGGTCAAGGAGAAGTAATAACAAGAAGGCTAACCACTATATAAAGCAGGGGGCTATGCTCTGAACAAAATTTTGCAATTGTAGGTATGTCACACCCCGAACCTTACGAGCTCGTAACATACCATCTCGGTCTTTCAAATGCGACATCCCAGGACTTGTCACCAACCCGATATAACTAACTTACGAGTAACACATGCGAAAGCAAACTCGAACACTCCATTTAACAATCAAATAAACGAGATAGCAAAAGAAACACCATATATACAAACATCGAAGCCAATATATAACATATTGTCAACCCCAAAAAGATACCATTTACAAGCCTGACTAAAGGCCACTTCCTATAAGACTATTCGCATACACAAAAAGGAATCGGTAGTCGGATCGACTTAGCTCCTCTAACAACAGGGA